TTGAAAGACAATAACGGGAAATTTACTAATCAAGATATTGAGATTCAATATAAATTAATAGTTGAGATTGAAATAATTCAGAAAATTGGATATGAAAAAGTCGAATTACAAAATAATTATTGAAGTCAAATTGAAGAGATTAAAGATGAATTGATTGACCAAAGTACTCCAATAGATTTACTTCAGATAGATCATTTGGAAGAAATAGACTAATGCCAAAATGATTTACAAATAGTAGAAGAATATATACAAATAGAAAGTGAAGAAAAAGATAATATAACAAAAGAAAGAGATGAATTACTAAAACGAGTGAATGAACTTCTGCAAAATAACTTAGAAGAAATTACTCATCAAGACGAAGAATTACAAGTAACAAATAATAAGTATCCAAACGAAAATGAAAGATTGGAAGAAGAAATAGCAAAATTAAAAGAAGAGAATCAGAAACAAGAAATAAGTCTGAGAGAAAAAACAAAACTAATAGATGATATAAAACAAGAAATTAATGAAATAAAACAAGAAGAAGAAAAAACTAAACAAGAACTTGAAGAAAAAGAAAATATTATAAAACAAAAAGAAAAAGAAAGAGAAGAGATAAATAACACAAATCAAGAATTAAAAGAAGAAGATGAAAAACTATAAAAAGAAGAAGAATATAATAAAAAAGAAGAAGAAAAAAATGTTATTGAAATAACCAAATGGAAAAAGAAATATGAAGAACAATCACTAAGTAAGTCAGCAATAATGGAAGAATATGAAGAAAAAAGTCAAGAATTAGAACTTGAAAAAAATAATATTTTAAAAGAAAAAGAACGTCTTCAAATTCAAAATAATGAACAAAAATCTATTATTCAATCTAAAGAAAATCAATATAATCAAATTCAATTGGATTTTGAACAAACTAAAAATCATTTAGAATCAAAAATAAAACAATTGGAAGATAGATTAAAAGATGTTTCTAATGCAAAAAAAGAAGACATAGATGAAAATGAAAAATATTTATTATTAAATGGAATTATTGTAACATTAAAAATGGCTAATCCTGATTACGCTGATACTTCTTATTCTGTTTCTTCTTTATTTAATGAAATTAAAAAAGAAAATGTTCCTTTACCTCAATGGCCTCTTTTTATTGCTGGAACACTTGGTCAAGATTAATTTATTTTCATTTCTTTCTCATTTTCTTTTGTAATTATCTCTTTTACTTTTCTCATCATTTCTTCTGAAATGCCTTATTCTTCTTTCATTTCTTGTCATTTTATATTCTTTGACTTTTTCTT